AGACACCAACACACCCCGGAGGAGGACTGGTTATTCTCTCCCCCGGATATGGAGCGAAAATTTTTACTGATGGTGGGATCCGAATCTGCTCCCGTAACATCACCACGTCTGCATCAGTTAAAATGCTAGGCTCGCCTTCGAAGTCGACCGCAGGATCAGGCCACTTCCTCACCGGTCTCCTCCAGTGAGGCACCTCAAGATCGGCTGCGCTCTCCTCAACCACTCGATCGCCATCTTCATCATCGAGCTTAATATCTAAATGTCCTACCAACATCGGATCCGACCGATGATACTCAAAGGCCAATTCAACCAACTGAGAATCATGATATACATCCAAGGGAACGGACTCGGTACTAGAGGAACTCGCCACCGCCTTACCCTTACCCTTTGACGCCATCGTACAATAAAACAAGAATACAAAAGAAATAAAAGCAGAATCGAAGAAAGGACTCACCGAAAGATCCACAAACACACAGTGCGCAGGAAACAACTCTCGAATTCTCACTCTCAGAAGAATTTAAACGATAATATGATGCAAAAACTCAAGAATCAAAGCAAAGGTGAAGAAAACTCGACCAGATATCGCAAAACCCTATTTATAATTTTCGATTTATGACCGTTGGGGAACTTAATTAGGGGCGCGTCCGACCGACATGACCCCTAATTCCAACCGGCACCACATCTTCATCTGATAAGACGCCTACTGTTACACGTGGCAACCTATTAAAGTCGACCGTTACCTCATTCAAGGCCATTACGGCGCGACTGTTCATTCTGACATTAAATTGTTGACCATTACGACTATTCACATTCCTCCTGTCGCGACTGCCTGCAAATTATTCGAATTTCACCAAGTGTCTTCACCTCGGAACACAGTCCGCACCTCGAAACGAGCAACTCACTTCAGTTACCTCGGTTACATCGGTAAACCGAAGATGACTCTCCTAAAACGGTAAGCACTCTGCCGTTGACTTTTTACCGATTCGGAGCCTCAAAATGTTTGGCAACATCGATGACCATCACTCCGTATGCCCACCGATCTTGGGGGCCTCTCTGTTATCATCCGACTCGGCAAAACACCATTAAGAGGTTTCAAACGTCATGTTAAGAGAAAACGACCCTTTAACCGACGTGATTTTACAACCACATCGGTCCAAGCAATGAACCGGTTCGAACTACCGAAGACCGAAGTAATCAATACTTGCCGAGGTCTACTTAAACCGAGGTTGTCACCTCCTTAAGCAGGTGACAAGGTGCCTACGCGCAACCATCACGCTCTACGAGATTCGTCATCATTCATGTGGGACCCACTGCTCCAAACCGCCCACCAAAAGCTACTTTATACGAAAAGTAGTACACAAATCCCTATGTATCCACCAAAAAGTTACTATAAATAGCGACCCTATGACATTGTACGGGGGATCCCCGAATTCATAAAACATGAAACACGTAAAAGCCCATCACGGCTCTTCACCTCGGTTCACCTCGGACCGGGGTCATTGTTGAGTTATTTTTACATGCTTTACGTCCAAACCGTTCGTAATTACCATCTTAATCACTTGTTACATCGTTGTTAAAAATCACATAACAACAATTATATTAAATTTAATTGATTTTTAAAAAAAGTCGTTTGAAATTTTTATTTCATGTTTCATCAAACTCCTCTACTAAAAAATCATGTATATTTGTTAAAAAAATAATATCAATCTCCTGGTTAAGTTGAAAATTTTATCAATGTGGGTTGTAAGTTGTGTTTGCTGAGTAATTCGAGAACTCATTCTTAAAATTAAAATCATATATTTTCAAATCATTAAATTTATTTTTAAATTTTAAATAATTTTAAACAATACTATTAAATATCTTGGTTTAAAAAAAAAAAAACTCGTTGAAATTTTTTATTTCATGTTTCGTTAAACTCCTCTACTAAAAAAATACAGAAATTTAGGAAAAAATAAACTTATTTTGTTGAAATACTAGTTTTTTTTTTTCCAAAACGATAGAGCACTAGTGATTAGTTACTTATCCTAATTTTAAGTATCTTGATTTGTAGTAATATCAAATATGTTTATGTGGTAATATTTATGATGATAAATAATGATATTAAGAATAAAAATATATATATTACACCCAAATTATTTATTTCTATTAACATTTATAAGAAAATAACATGTATATAATATTTAAATTATTAAAAACTATGATTCAATTTTACAATTGTCATTTATAAGAAGATAACATATATACAATTTTAAATTAAAATAATTATTCAATCTCACAATGGAACCAATAATGTGTTGAACCGGTCACAGGCCGGTTTTGAAAAAACACCGAGTGCTTGTCATCCGTACGATTAGTGACAACCATAGATCCCCAAACTTTCTTCTTCCCAAATTCCTTACGAAGTGATTTTATAATTAGGGTTTTCAGATTTGACACAGTCTTCCCCTTATCGACCAAATTCAATAACAACATCTTCTGAAGGTGAGGAGTTAATTTCTCAAAACGTTGAGGTATTTGCCAAAATTTAATTAATTTTAGATTTAAATTTTTCGTTATTGCTGCGTTGTGGATTTAAATTTTAGATTTTATTAAATTTTTCAATCATATTTAGCAGATTATTGGAGTTCGTTTCATCAATGGCGAACAGACCACAGATCCGCACAAGCAACTCGTCGCTCATAGCCATGATTGCTGATGAGGTGTCTAATTTGTGTTTTTTTT